CAGTCTACCCACCTGGAAGGCTCTGCAAAACAGGCTTCAGATATTGATTTACTGCATCAACAACCTGTGGACATAGCTAAAAGAAAATACATGTCAGAACAACTGAATTTAAACCTGTAAAGTGAATCTGTCACAAAATTCAAATTATGTAAAAAAAAAAGAAGAGACCACTTGTTAAGATGATTTGTAGATCCAAATAATAAACTTACATACTGCATATCTTAGAAGCAGAAAAGGCTGTAAGTGGCAATGATTTAAATACCTGATTTTGCATAGTATTCCTTAGAGATGATTCAATGGAGTCATCAAAGAGGTTAACAAGCCAGCTAGAATATCACAGAAAAAACAAAAGTGAAAAGGACTGTTATGTGAGTTATTTCTATAACCAGCTGAAGGCAGATAGATTTCATACATTAAGGTCAAATCCAGATAAATATTTATACAAAAAATCTGAAAAATATATTTGTAAAAAATATATTTTTAAAAAATATATTCTTCAGATTTTTAACATATAAAAAAGTAATTTTAACATATATTTTACATACATTTGTAAATGCATTCCAAAAATGTAGATTTGTATTTTTAAAGACATACAGTCATATATTTTGTAATAAAAACGCGTTTCAAAATGCAGTATATATATATATATATATATATATATATATATATATATATATATTTTATTGAAATATATTTTGAAATATATTGAATATGGCCAGAATTGTAGTTTTTCAAGTATATGGCAATATATTTGGAAAGAATATGTTTTAAATATATTTCAGATATATTTTTATTCCATGTGGGAAGAAACGTGTATTCTTGAATCATGGTGTACTTTGTGTATTTCCTCCAGATTTGTGCACTAATCCAGCAGTAATCAAATCCTGCACTTTATCTCTGCCAGTTTCCTGTAAAGACCCGTCACTGCTGCTCACCCTCTATGTGCAGTGACTGGTCTTATCTCCACCCCCTCCTGTAGTGTTCTGCAGGCAGCCTGTAGTGGGTGGGTCCCTCCCGGGTGGGTCCCTCCCTCCCACAGCTCGGCTATCTCACAGCACATTGATGGTGTCGCTGCTACTTCTACAGGGTTACATCTCTCTACGCAAAGGCATTTGGTGTACAAAAGTGGATTTATAGCCTGTGTTGCTATTGAGGAATACATTTAAATAATAAGATAATAATAATAATTTGTGCCTAGAGTTGGGCTTCAATGAACAAAGTGTATGTAAATATAGAAGTAATATATAGTCTTTTTCTTCCATTGATAACAATTTGATTTAGCATATATCGGTGTGATGTGGAACCAGTAGTAGGTAATGACATTTCAGGCCCTTCATACTGATCTGGTGCGGTTTTCCCGCAGCTCAGGTACAACGCAGTGTTTTGTGCAGGCTATCTACACCTTGCCGTAAACTTCTACCAGATCTGGAGTTTTTGGTGCATTTTCTGAAAAGCACACCAAAGATGACCAATTCAATAGAAGTCTATGGCAAAGCTCAGGTGACCCACACGCAAACCGTTGCGGGAAAAAAAGCACTCGACCAGTGTGAATGGAGCCAGTGACATTATCATTTTGCTGCAACTTGTCTGGAGACTAGTTTAGGACCCAATACACATTAGACTTGTTTGATTTGTTTCATTAAGAATTGAAATTCAGACTAAATTTTTGGTTTTTGGAGATTCGGCTGTATCTGAATTTTCCAAATCCCAAAAGTAATGCATTTCAACAAATCCAAAATAAATTATAACAAAACCAACTATCTAAATTGGAAGATTAATTCAAATTAAAACGTGAATTTGAATTCTAAATGGAAACATATTGCAATATTGCAGTAAGATATAAAAGTGAAATAAGATGATGATTCCTACTTAGGCTGCTTTATAGAATAGAACAGAATAGAACGAAATAGAAAAAAAATAAAATACAATAAAACAGAATAGAAAATAAAAGAATAGAATACCAAATAATTGAATAGAATAGATTAGAATAGAATAGAGAAGAATATAGAATAGCATAGAAAAACAGAAGAATAGATTAGAATAGAATAAACTAGAATGAATATAACCGTTTTCCGAAATTTTAATTTTGAAATTCAAATCGATTTTAAAATAACGGATATACAAAACGAATCCGAACATACAAAATGAATTCCGAAAATAATTCATTCTAACACAACAAATATGATGAAACTAAATTATTAACTTAACAAACAAATCCAAATTGAAAGAAATGTTTCCGTCGTGCACATTTTTAATACACACAAAGATCCTTGGTGCAGCTTGAAAGCTTACATCATTTGGGCAAAGCACAAACAAACTACTGCTTAACCATCATATAGTTTAGTTTCTGCAGGGGATATCTATAGGGGTAAGATGATAGCACAGATATTTTCTTAATTCAGAGCTAGCATAGCACCCTCCTAGTCAGGTGATAGGCTAGGCAAATTTAGTTCTTTGCTCACTGTTATCAGAACAGCTGTGTTTGATTAGTTAGGTCTGTTTTGTGTTACACTGGCTGCAGAGTTGACCGTTTCCCCCTGTCTGGCTGGATTGTTCTAAAAAGATAGTGGGCTGGAAAATTGGCAGCTGAATATTTATGCAGCCCTGACCGGTCCCTGGGAAAATTTGCCCAGATGGTAGTTGAGAGCGTGTATACATACTGTGAGACCTGGAACAAAAGGCTCCATGCACACTGGGCGTTTTGATAACGCTGGTAAAGGTACTGTGTAAAGTCACATTAAAAACGTGAGTTTTTCAGCTTTTTTAGCATTTTTGCATTAGCGTTTAGCGGAGATTTTCCACGTTTTCATTTTATTTGCTTTTTTTTTTTACCTTTGGTCAAAAAAAGTCCAAAAATGCCGGTTTGCGGCGTTTTAGCGTGTTTTTCAGTATTAGAGCGTTTTTACAGCTAAAAAAACTCTCTCTAGAAACCCACTAGTCCTGGGTTTTTTTCCAGCCAAAAAACGTTGATAACAGTCTATGTGTGTATGGACACATAGGATAACATGCTGGGGGGTTTACTAGCTGTAGAAAAAAATGTCAAAAGCCAAAAACAGCAGCTGTAAAAACATCAAATGTGCATGAGGGCTTAGTGTCTTGTTCCTTAGGAGGACATCACAGCCTCAGGGGCTGATTGCCCCTAGGAAATTCTGCCATGTGCTTCCGGCTCATTGAAGTCTCAGTTGGGCTAGCTAGAGGGCCTAGTTTGCTAAAAGTTGTTGGAGCTGACTGAGGGGCTTTTTGTATGAGGATCTAGTCTGGTATCACTGGGAGAAAATATCTGGAAGGCATAGGTAGGAGGAAACTCATTATCTGAAGACATTAGTGAGTACAGACTGGTATGAGAGATCCTTAGACTGTGTCCTGTTGCCACATCTCGGTGCTATAGAGTCAGGTGTGTGTAAGTGGGTGATTGTGCCAGGTGTCCTGAAGAGCTCCGTCTATTTAATTCTTAGTGAAAAGACTGTAAAGTTGGAAGGAGCTGAAACTGATGCCTTCTGATAGTACATGTTTTTAACAATGTACAGTTGCCAATTTATATGTCCAGGTTGTACAAAACCACCCATGGACCAACAAGACAGTTATATAGGGCCTGCTTGGTGCAGCCATATACCGTATTTTTCGCCGTATAAGACGCACTTTTTCTTCCTCAAAACTGGGGGGGAAATGTCAGTGCGTCTTATAGAGCGAATATGGAGCGGCCTGTCCGGTATTTCCACCGCGGCCGTGTCAGAATACCGGGCCGGCCGCTCAGCTCTGCAGCGGGACCTTACCTGTTCCTCTATCCAGCGGCGTGCTGTCTTCCCGGCTTCTGTAGTGTGGGCACTGGGCATGACAGCCGGGTGCCAAGTGCGCATGCGCAAGAAGCGGTGCTTTTTGTGAATGGTAAGGCGGTACCTGGGACACATGACAGATCCCAGAAGCCGCCGGACCAATCACAAAGCGCAAGTGCTTCTTGCTCATGCGCACTGGGCACCCGGCTGTCATGCCGAGCGCCATTACAGAAGCTGGGAAAACAGCGCGCGGCTGGATCGAGGAACAGGTAAGCTCAAACAAAAACTCTGCGGAAGTAAGAGCGGGTACCTGTCAAATTCAGGTACCCGCTCCCCACCTCCCCAAAGGTCAGCAGTCATCTGTACTGTCCGCAGTCTCTGGTCATCCCTGTGCTGCCGCAGTCTCTGGTCATCCCTGTGCTGTCCGCAGTCTCTGGTCATCCCTGTGCTGTCCGCAGTCTCTGGTCATCTCCTGTACTGTGTCTGCAGTCCATTAGTTCAGAATTTTTTTTTCCTGTTTTCTGCCTCTAAAACCTAGGTGTGTCTTATGGTCAGGTGCGTCTTATACGGCGAAAAATACGGTACCCAAAGTGATTGGCCCAGGGTTGGAGTTGGTCTCACATCCATACCTTTTCAAAGAACACACACCAACTGCAGCCAAATGTGCGGTTTTTTTCAGTTCAGTGTTTAAAAAGGTAAAATAACGGACCTAGGGGAAAAAAATACACAACATTGGGGGTACAGTGTTGTCCAGCACTACAGAGGAAAAAGATTTGGGGTACTTATTTCAGATGATTACAAAATTAGCAAGTAGTTCGGCCTGGCGGTGGGGAATAGCGAATACAATTCTGGAATGCGTCACTAGAGTGGTCGCCATCAGGAGGAAGGAGGTCTAAATTCGTGTGACATTTCCGAACCTCTGAAAAGTTGGGGACTTTAAAACCCAGTGGTGGGACAAGCATATGATGGTGGTGAGTTGAAAGCTTTATTTTGGGCATCAGAAGTTGATGAATTATTTTATTTTTTCCATGCCGAGGATAAAATAAAAGGACTGTTTTGGTTTGGTGATCCTGGATTCCCCCATATTACAGGACCCATCTAAATGTTTTGAATGTGATCCTTTGAAACTGCAATGCATATCCATTTCAAGATGTACTACAGTAATCCTTGCTGTGTGCTCTACATTAGAACAAGCTTTTATTGGAAATACAGAGAATTAACTTACTCAAAGGTGTCTGTGAAGTGTACATTCATGTCTCCAATGTTTGCACTACAGTCGGAGGTGGACACTGTTGGTCTACCAGATCCATCAGTTCCTAAACTCAGCCCAACAGAAATGGATATTCCCAGGACCTGTAAAGTGAAGTCACCACTGTCTGATCTATTGGAAGAAAACATAGTAAGATATGGATAAACCTTCTGTTTAAAGAAAATGCATAGTCTTTATTCAATAATTTCTAGTTACATAGTTAGTCTGGCTGAAAAAAGACAAAAGTCCATCCAGTTCAACTATTAAAAAAAAAAAAAAATTATAATCCTATACCCACAGTTGATCCGGTTAGTTATAAATGTAAAGAAGAGCAGCTTGTTATAAATAATATTATCATTTGTTAATTTTCTAAAAATTTTGTTTCTGTATGTAGTTTGTAATAATTATCTATCTACATGGGAATGGACATACAGTCATGGCCGAAATTGTTGGCACCCTTGATATTTTTTCCTGAAAATCAAGTATTTCACACAAAAAAGGTATTGCATTAACACATGTTTTGCTATACACATGTTTATTCCCTTTGTATGTATTGGAACAAATATAAAACAGAGGCAGAAAAGCAAATATGACATAATGTCACACAAAACCCCAAAAATGGGCTGGACAAAAGTATTGGCACCCTTAACTTAATATTTGGTTGCACACCCTTTGGAAAACATAACTGAAATCAGTCGCTTCCTATAACCATCAATAAGCTTCTGACACCTCTCACCCGGAATTTTGGACCACTCTTCCTTTGCAAACAGCTCCAGGTCTCTCTTATTGGGAAGGACAACCCTTTTCCCAACAGCAATTTTAAGATCTCTCCACAGGTGTTCAATGGGATTTAGATCTGGGCTCATTGCTGGCCACTTCAGAACTCTCCAGCGCTTCTTTGCCATCCATTTCTGAGTGCTTTTTGACGTATGTTTGGGGTCATTGTCCTGCTGGAAGACCCAGGATCTTGGACGCAAACCCAGCTTTCTGACACTGGGCCCTACAGTGCGACCCAAAATCCTTTGGTAATCCTCAGATTTCATGATGCCTTGCACACAGTCAAGGCACCCAGTGCCAGAGGCAGCAAAACAACCCCAAAACATCATTGAACCTCCACCATATTTTACCGTAGGTACTGTGTTTTGTTCTTTGTAGGCCTCATTCCGTTTTCGGTAAACAGTAGAATGATGTGCTTTACCGAAAAGCTCTATCTTGGTCTCATCTGTCCACAAGACGTTTTCCCAGAAGGCTTTTGGCTTACTCAAGTACATTTTGGCAAACTGTAGTCTTGCTTTTTTATGTCTCTGTGTCAGCAGTGGGGTCCTCCTGGGTCTCCTGCCATAGCGTTTCATTTCATTTAAATGTCGACGGATAGTTCGCGCTGACACTGATGCTCCCTGAGCCTGCAGGACAGCTTGAATGTCTTTGGAACATGTTTGGGGCTGCTTATCCACCATCCGGACTATTCTGCGTTGCAATCTTTCATCAATTTTCCTCATCCGTCCACGACCAGGGAGATTAGCTACAGTGCCATGGGTGCAAACTTCTTGATAATGTTGCGCACTGTGGACAAAGGCAAATCTAGTTCTCTGGAGATGGACTTGTAACCTTGAGATTGTTGATATTTTGCCACAATTTTGGTTCTCAGGTCCTCAGACAGTTCTCGTCTCCTCTTTCTGTTGTCCATGCTTAGTGTGGCACAGACAGACACACAATGCAAAGGTTAAGTGAACGTCTCTCCTTTTTATCTGCTTTCAGGTGTGATTTCTATATTGCCCACACCTGTTACTTGCCCCAGGTGAGTTTACAGGAGCATCACATGCTTGTAACATTCTTATTTATCCGCAGTTGTGAAAGGGTGCCAATACTTTTGTCCAGCCCATTTTTGGAGGTTTGTGTGACATTATGTCGAATTTGCTTTCTTTCCTCCCTTTTTTTGTTTTGTCCCAATACACACAAAAAGGGAATAAACATGTGTATAGCAAAACATGTGTTAATGCAATACGTTTCGTGAGAAATACATGATTTCCTGGAGAAATATCAAGGGTGCCAACAATTTCGGCCATGACTGTATATATTCATTATATGTGCACTGCTACACAAGGGTTGTGCTTTACTGCTCTTTCTTACAAAGTCCTTACAGAACATCTGAACACCTCCCCTCTCCTTACCTCCATTACAATAGGGGTGGCATTCTGTAGTTTGAGATTTGTTTGAGATTTCAGTTCAGTGCACAAGAAGTTTTAAGGACACTGGGATTATGGCACGACATCTAAGGACTTGTAAGTAGCTACTGTATATATTACATTTGTGCCTTTGGGTTTAAATATTCCTAAACAACTGTTAGGCAGAGCAGTGAGGGACTGCAAACTTACACCCTGGTCACACAGATCCCGACTTTGAAATCATGAGACGAGGGGCGGACTGACAACTCATGGGGCCCCGGGCAATAGGGGATCATGGGGCCCCTGTGTCCTTGCCCAAACTCAAAAAAGCCTATGAAAAAGGTACCAGAGGCATCTCATGGGGCCCCCTATTGACCCCAGGCCCTCAGGCAGTGCCCAAGTTTCCAAATGGTCAGTCCGCCCCTGCATGCGACTTACAGTGAAGTCGCTCGATTTCAAAGTCGGATGATATGCCGATTTGAGGTGTGATTTGCAAGACATCTGACATAGATGTCTATGCAAATCGCACCAAAAGTAGTGCATGTACTACTTTAGAAATTGGTGTGGCGCCAACCAAGTCGGAACCGCACTGATATGACCGCTGTAATTGATCATATCAGATGACAAGCTGAACTCCCCTTGTTTATGAGAGTAGTGTGCTTGGTGTTACTATACAGTTCAGTTTCAGTTCAGAACTAGGGCAGAAATTTACACTAAAACTGGATATTCCTGTTAGGTTAGTGGGCTTGAATTGCAATTACAGTAAACTAATCTCTTCTACATAATAGATTTGTATGGTAGGGATGGGAAAATGCTAAAATCTGCCCCACCATTGGTATTAGATATATCTTTGTATATCTGTAATTAACATTTTCTCATGATTCTAATACAGAAGTGAATTTCCAGCCAACCTTTTTTTTTTTTTTATTAGTCATGGGTAGATAGCAATAAAAACCTGTTACCCTAGGTTCACACCTAAGCGTTTTTTGTAGCGTTTTGCAGACACGCACTACAGTTCATTTAACATCATTTCCTATGGGACACGTTCACATCAGATTTTCACCCAGTGCGTTTTTTGGAAAGGGTCAGGGACTTTTTTAAATGCAAAAAGTTGTGTTTTTGGTTCTATAGACTTCAATGAGGTGATTGTAGCCGTATTAGTGCATTTGCGACAGAAACAATTGAGTACTGTCCGTGATACTTTTTTTATTTGCACTAACATACAGTTTTGAGGACAAGCTTTCGGGGTATGTCCCCTTCTTCAAGGTCCAAGCAGTACTATACAAATCACAAAGTTTAGCAGAATGTTAGAAGGGATTGAAAAAAAAAAAAAAAAAAGGCTACAGATAAGATACATCAAAAGCGAGGGGGGGGGATACTACACTCACACAGAAGCTTGACCCCCTCTGAGTGAGTGTAGTATCCCCCCCCCCCCCCCTTGCTTTTGATGTATCTTATCTGTAGCCTTTTTTTTTTTTTTTTCCTCGATCCCTTCTAACATTCTGCTTAAACTTTGTGATTTGTAATAGTACTGTTTGGACTTTGAAGAAGGGGACATTCCCTGAAAGCTTGTCCTCAAAATTGTATGTTAGTGCAAATAAAAAAAGTATCACGGACAGTACTCAATAGACTTCAATGAAAATGCTGCAGAAAAGCATGTAGTGCTGCGTTTTAAATCTGCCTCTGAAAAAAACCTCAAAAGTATCAAAAACTCATCAAAAACACGTGCAAAAATGCAAAAACTGCAGAAACAGAGCAACCGCAAACTGCATAGTTTTGAACTTAGTCTAAAACTTTTACTAATCTCTGTGTCCCCGAGGTTTCTCCTCACTTTCTGTCTGCCCACAATGAGGGGAATCCAAATTTTACCCATTGTCAGGAATATGGAAATCCCCAAATCCCCCATCAACACATCACTTTCACTGACAATTGTCAAAGCTGAGAATTCACATTTGGGAGATTTGCCCTCATTTCCTGTTTTGGCAGCTTACTGGAAGTGAAGGAGAAACATAAAAAAAGTTTAACTCTCACTCTGTACAAAACTAGAAAAATAATATTAATAATAATTGGGACCTGGCAAAAAAATGGTGGAGCATCTATGAACAAAGTGTGTGTGTGTGTGGGGGGGGGGGGGGGGGGGGGTGGGGGGGGGGGGGGAGGGTGTTCCTGCGCATGTGCACAAACCTCACCAGTTTTTGGTATATATGCAGTATATTGGCCTGTAAATTTTGTGCACATGCACAGCACAGTTGCGGCGAGTCTGAGAATGCGCCCTTGGTGACACACTGGGGTTTATTTACTAAAGCTGGAGAGTCCAAAATCAGACTCCCTTCTGCATAGAAACCAATCAGCTTCCAGGTTTCATTGCCAAAGCTTCAATGAACAAGCTGAGGTTAGAAGCTGATTGGTTTCTATGCAGAAGGGAGTCTGATTTTGGACTCTCCAGCTTTAGTAAATAAACCCCACTGCGTCTAGTAATGGCTGTGACATAGCAATCCCAAATGCCTGTACTAGGCCAAAAAGTAGGAAGTGGTGCCTTCCAGCAGAAAAGGGTACAAATCATAATTCAATTTTTGTAAGAGGGAGGGGGTAAGAAGAAAAAGAGAAAAGGTTGTTGTAATGAGTTCCACTTTAATAGGGATAAAAGGAAGACATATTTTCAACTGAAGAAAAAAAACCCCCCCAAAAAATTAGCTATGTTATATTAAGGGGGTGTTATAGTGACTCTATTACTGAAATGAAAAAATTTAAAAACATTGTCCCTGCAAGCTTCAGTATTGTGGAGAAAGCCACTGAAAGAACATCCTGAATCTTCCTGGTCCTCGATCATGAGCTATGGTTTGCCAGTGCCAGTGACAAGAACCACTGTGGGCAGCAGGGGGACCAAAAATTTGACACTCCCAGAAGTGTCAGATTTAGTTGATTCTTCAAGAAAAGATTTCTTGGCAATACAGGAGTAATTGGTGGTATGAATTGCAGGATTGGGGAGTTTTAAACACTTTCTTTGTAGGAGACATGTTTTTTAAACTTTATATTTTAGTTGCTTTGAATGATAAGTTCTCCTTTAGGAGCATGTTGCATGATACATATATATTTAGGGTATAACATGTAACATGCTCCTATGTACCCACCTCCTGCTACCAGTGCTCCCCATTCTGTGACAGTGAGCCGCAATTCTTCTCCCCGCACCCACTGTCATAATGTGGGCTCCACACATCCACATCATTTATTCAGTTTTTTGTGAATGAATAGACTACAAGTACCACTAGCCATTGCAACTGACAGCTTGAAGTTCTCACTTAACTATGAAGTTGCTGGTGAGTGCTCTAGTAGTTCATTGATTATCCTGCTTTCAGGTAACTGCCTGCCCTTATCGGAGGCATAGGCAGACAGCTATCCTGAGAGTCTGCAGGAGCCTTGCATTGCACCAATGGTCTGCTGATCTCTGCAGGCTCCTTTGGAAGAAAATAATAAATGCACATATTTTTAACCTGTAAAGAAAATGTGCATTTTTTTTTCAAACAGTGAATTGCTTTATCTAACATTGCTCTTAAATCTAATGCTGTAACTCAGAAAAGATAAAACATTTATAATTAATAGTATCATTTCTTACACAAACAGGTACTCTACTCCCCAATATCCGTGTATTTCGATAAAAGCCTGAATAATCGAAACCTTCAGGCCCACATTAGGAACACACACAATTTGTGAGCTGGACAGCTGGACGTTGGTTATAACCATGCTGAAAAATAATACAGACAGTTAATACAGGCATATACTCAACCTTGAAAAGACCTTCCTTCTAAAGGAAATATATAATATTTGTAATATAACAAATGACATCTTGAAATGGGAGGAGGTGACAAGGGAGCTTATAAGCAGAATGTCATTGGAGGAGCGAAAAGAACGATTTGGTTGGTATTTGAGACAAGATTGGTTATATAGCTGGGGGCAAAGTTGTGGATGGTTTTATAAACTTTTGTTAGAATTTTGAATATTTTTCATTGGTTGAGCAGAAGTCAGCTAAGGTATTGGCAGACAAGAGCAGCAGTCACCGAATGGTTGGTTAGGTGGATTGGTCTTGCAGCAGCATTCATGATCTGTTTGGGGTCTAGCAGTTGTCAGTGAAGGTTACCTCTAACTTCTGGGATGTAGATTCATCCTTATAATGAGAAAGTAAAGCTAAATAAATAACAGATATAAATCTTTAACCTCCCTGGTGGCCTAACTAATCAATATTTTTGAATGTCAAAGCGGTACATTGTTTTGCATGGAAATTTGTTGTTTTATATTGTAGGCCTGTAATTCTTAGGAATAACTCACCTAAATCTGTCCAAGCAAGTGTCTAATAAACATCCCGGGTATTATAAAGTTTGAAACACGAAATCATAACTTATAATATAATAAATAATAATATAAATATAATAATAAATTTAATTCAATAATGTAATCAAACCGAAAACACTGAAATTTGAAATATAGCACCAAGTTCTCACATCACTGAGCAAAGTCGCAAAATCGTTTTCAGTGTCTGATGACGAATTTCCCCACGAATCATTATCACTCAATTCTGCAAGTGATTCGAAATCACTATCTCTGTCTTCTAGCTGGTCTAAAACCGCTTTTGACCTAAAGGGACACTTTTTGGATGCCATGGACGTTCTCAAGTTTCCAAGCAGAAAGAACAGTAAAAGTGCAGGCAGGGCACAGGACAAAGCACTTGGGATATAATTTAGGTGAAATGGTTTGATACAGTAACAGGGGCGGACTGACCATTTGGAAACTCGGGCACTGCCTGAGGGCCCGGGGTCAGTAGGGGGCCCCATGAGATGCCCCTGGTACCTTTTTGATAGGCATTTTTGAGTTTTGGCAAGGACACAGGGGCATCATGATCCCCTATTGCCCGAGGGCCCCATGAGTTCTCAGTCCACCCCTGTACAGTAATGTAATACTAACAGATTACAATGTATTGTGTGTATGTCATGTTTTTTACTTTTTTGAATCTTCCGCCAGTTCGCGCCCCCTGCGAGCAGGGAACGGAACCCGGCTGGTCGGCCTGGAGGACATGGCCGGAGGACACAGCGGGAGGACATCGCAGGATCACAGGACAAGGTAAGGATCGGGGGATCGCTGGAGAAGCACTATACTGTAATCCCGAGTGTGGTTTAGGATTCCCGTTTTTGGTACTGAAAATGAACCCCAAGGTTTACCGCCAGGGAGTTTTATGGACAAGCGTTCACATTTATGAGAATTTTAGGCCCCTTAATAGGGGCATCTAGCTGCTGTGCATCCCTCCTGGCATTTTAGTGCACCTGGGAGGTACAGGTGCAGAGTCCAGTCCTGCTGCCTGCATCCCATCAAAGTCTATGGAAGGCTGCAGCTGGACGTGGCTGTTTACATGGTTAGGGTCCTATGCATTAAGGGATGAATGGAGGTGTGCTGGGCATATAGCAATTGAGTGTTCACACCAGCAGTCCTGTTTTTAGGGTGTGAATAATGCACAGGTGCTGCTGTGCACTCTCCCTGCAATGTGTTGTTACAACAGATTGCAGTGTTTACATTTTTTTGCCTTTTTCAAACTTTAAGCCTTATGCAGACAGTTTAAAAAACACGGCATTAGGTGCATTTTAAAGCAGTTTTTTTCTTGCCAGGAGAAAAGGCATTCAGAGGAGCAAAGCAAAAGTCCTGTGTGCATGAGGCCTTATTTGGCTGGAGCTAGATGGGCAGCAGAGGTGGAAGACCTGACATGACTAGGTTTGCAGGACAGGCTGGGGTTAAAACAGGGTGAAAAATTTTACTTTTGTTTAAAAAATAAACGATCTTACCTGATTGGAGGGAACAAGGATGGGGCAGGGTTTGACCTTGGTGTGGTGATGTTGGGTGGTGCCTTTTCCTCAAGGTCAGTTGTTGCTGGTACAACGAAGAACAAGCTTCTCCACCCCCCTCTTTCCCCTAGAATTTTTACCATGGTTACTTTGTCTTTTGGTTTGTATTTTATTCTCTTACTTTTGCTTGAGCAGTTACTTCAGGGGTTGGGCAAATTAGTAGGCATTGCTATGTATTCCTGAGGATTGTCAAGTTTTGCTCTGGGGTGTGTCGTAGCAACTTTCAGGAGTCTTAAGCAGTGATGGTTAACAATTTTTGAGAATGATGGGTTGGGCCCATCTCAGGTATGGGTGTATCTTTCTGATTTATGTTAAGGCTGTAATAAATTAAGAGTTATTTGGCTGTATCAAGAGTATTTTGATGGTAAATTGTCCCCAAGTTGGTGTACTTGAGGCTGGGGGCCTTGAAGTGGATTTTGGTGGCAGATAAAGCAGGTCGATTGAATACAGGTGCCTTCAAAGGCCCTAGACTTTTAAGGAGGTCTGTTACTGTACTGATATTGTTTGTTATAAAGTCGTAGATTATAGGTATTGAATAAATGGCTGCTATGGACTTTAAACTCCAAAAAGGAAGTCTGTAGTTGTCTATATTTGATGGATTACAGTTTAGTTTGGTTAGGTCAAGGTTATGGCAGCCATAATTCATAGCAATACCTATGTCGAGTGACTGCCATGTGTTTTAACGTGTTGTTGTACATTGTGGTGCATAAAAAAGCAGACATGCTACATTTTTTGCAATGTACCTGTATGGTGTGAAGAGGGCACATAAAAAACAATTGTTCCCTCTGTGTCCTTGTGCTGAACCTGCATTGATCAACACAGTCCAGCATAACTAGTGTGAGCATGTGGAGCAATGTGCTATTCACTGGGCATGTACAACCTTTCAACATAGCTCAACAGCAATTCTTTATTTACACTGATCACAAAAAGTTAATATTCACCCAGAGATTTGATAATCCACACTTCCCAGGATTCCCACATCATAGGACCCTGAATAATTTGGTAGTCGAATACTTGACAACTTCTGTTGCAGGACATTGATTCCTATCTGGCGGGCTGTAAATGAAAGTAAAACTTTTTTTGATCAATTTATATCTTTTACAGCTGACCTCCAGACAAACAACTAAATAAATATGAAATATGTAAAAGGAGTTGTTTTTATCTGCCAAAGGATGCATTTTTGGCTATCCATTTCTGAGATTACTACAGCTCTGTCATACAACACAACCCTGTCTGGCAGGGGGGAGGCCTGATTTTGATCTGCTGTAGTTAAGTAACACTAAGGTTTTGTCCCCCACACACCCTGTGACTGGACAGTGAAAGGAGAAGCAGCAGACAGATGAACTCACCTCTCTGTCCTTATCCTCTCGTCGTATAGCAGCATATTCCTTGTTAGTACATGAGCACTGCATTACAGCTAATTTTGCTCCTTCTCCCTATCCCAATCTGAGCATTGGTTTACAGGGGTGGCAAAGGGATGAAAGCAATGTAGCAGTACCCCCTTAGGAGTTGCTGAAGTCTTGTGTTACCCTATAGTTTTTCACAGTCAGGCAACACGAATTTCACATAGACTTGCATCCAGGAGTCAGTAACCAGTCCTTGAGCTTTGTTTTGGTGATTTTATTAGGGGATTGTAAGTTGGAGAGGGTAAGGAGGGTATGGGATGCCCAATGGAACTGAAAAACCGAGGACAACTCCCTGAACTAGGTACAAGTGTTTACAGCAAACAGTCTCTTTCGAAGAACTAGCCAGCATCTCCTGTAGTGCCATCCCAGATCCCAGATACTCCTTATCCAGTTGTTCTGGGTGAATCCCTGAGCAGGGGATCCAGTGTCTGCCATATAATTTGTGAAACAGTCCAGGGTGGCAGGCTAATCCAGTTTCCCACTAGAGTGCCTCCTTCCCCTATCTGGCCCAGGGGGGGTGCAGGGCTGCTCCTTCCCTGCCTCACAGGTGGTCCGCTCTCAGGGGAATGGTGAAGTCCTGAGTTTTTCCTCCTGCCAAGGTCTTCTGCCTGTAGGTGAGCCCCTCTCTATCTGGGGCTCCTTCCCAGGCTCCTGCTCCTCTGCCTCACATCCTCCTATTTCACCCAAACTCCTCTTCACTCTCCTGCTACTGTGCAGGCTCAGTTACTCTTAAAGGCTGTCCTGGCCCCCTTGCCAAGCCTCCTGTTGGGGATTGGCCAGGATCCTCCAAGAGTACAGACCAACCACTCCTCATCTCTGCCCACTGCTTCTAGATCTTTCTCAAACAAATAGAGCAGGGGAAAATACCAGAGAGCTAGTCTGCAGAGCCTCTCAGCTCTGGCCTGAATTTGACCCTGCTAGCTTTCACACCCAGGCTGCTACTCAGCTCTCCTAGCTAACATTTTGAACTAGAGTTCCCCCTAGCTACCTAGGAGGGTGCTACACCAAGATAAATTCAGAAAAGAACACTGCTTAAAATAAATTTAATTATGTATGTAATTATATAGGTTTTGTATGTATCATATTATTTTATATGTTTTGTATGTATATGTGATGATACTGTAAAGATGTAGAGTTATATTTCAGACTGACCACCAACTGTCCCTGATGAAGATTTGTTAATACTGAAATGTGTTGTGGCCTATATACAAAATTGTGGTGACTATAAGAGCCTATGTGAATTAATAAATAAAGGGTGGTCCTTATTTATTGAGAAATATCAAGCTATTTATCAGCCAAATAGTTTTTATCAGATTTTCATCTTTCTGTTATTTTTTTAAATATTTTGGCATCGTTCAGATAAATCCTTAGATTCAATTATGTAGTAATGTAGACAGAGCTGCATTATCTGTGTCTTTTATTATCTCCCTGGGTGCAGCTTTACAAAGTGCAAAACAGAAAGAAATATGAAAGGGGAAATCAGCACAAAACCTGTAGGTTTCAGTTCCTTCTTGTGCTATACAGTTTCTCTCTTGCAAAGTGAACAGTCTATTTGCAAGTAGTAAATCAACCTGTGGTTGTTTTACCCATGACACTGGCAGAACCAAGCATTAGGAGTTTTTAAAGGGATAGCACACAGGAGTGTTACCTCTGTAAAACAAATTCTGTTTGGAGCTGTACAGAACAGGTGGGGGGGGGGGGGGAGCGAGGAGGTTACTTTAGTCCTCTGACTCTTTCAGCTTTGTGTGCAAATGTGAGTTTGAGCAACTGAACTCTGTAAACAACATATTTCTGCATAGCAGTTAAACTTAAACATTAAAAGACACCTAGGTCTCCACTTGTTGGCTGGAAATGGAGATATTAATATTCATATGCAATAGTTCATACTAACCACCTTTCTTGTTCTTAATAAATAATGGAAAATAACTGCATTTCAGAGACGCAAGTACTCTTCCCTGAGTATCTGTTCTCAGTCCTCAGCAGCTGTCTACTTGGTCAGAGAGCCGCAACCTGGATGTTGCCTGCAGAACCCATAACCACCTTTAGGAGCTCTGGAGATGAAATGAAGGTTCCTTAGATTCTGCGCTTTGGCCCCACTAAGGGCTCTCACCATCGCTGTATGGTCGGGCACACTAGGCTTACCCTCTGGTTCCAATAGGTGTCCTGCTTCTCCAAGAATTCTTGCATTTCTCTGTGTCACCTACGTGGCCATCACCACTGCCTAGCCCTAGGTACAGTAGCTAGTTTCAGGTTAGCCATTTCACCCTCTAGTGGGAACAGACTCCACTTTGTGATAGGAAGAGAGAACTCTGAGAGCAGCAAAGATCAGTAGAGGATTTCCTTGTAAAGGTACTGTAGTTATAGATTCTGTCTGCTGCTATATTTTATATTGTATTTCTGGTTTTGGTGGAGTACTATTGTAATAGGCAGGGGCGGACTGACCATTTGGAAACTAGGGCACTGCCGAGGGCACGGGGTCAGTAGGGGGCCCCATGAGATGCCCCTGGTACATTTTTTTATAGGCTTTTTTGAGTTTGGGCAAGGACACAGGGGCCCCGTGATCCCCTATTGCCCAGGGGCCCCATGAGTTGTCAGTCCGCCCCTGGTAATAGGTAAGTCTTAACTAGAAGAATGATCAATTGTGGACACCTACGAATGTGACAGCTTAAAATTCCAAGTATATTTTAGAATCAATGTATATTAGTTTTGTGGCACTACAGCAAAAATGTGCATAAAGCATCATCATCATACGACAGAATGAATCATAAACTATATCAAAATAACCTAGGTTACATCCAGCAATACTAGGTTGGCAAGACAATAATGATAAACTCTTGGAGGACTGGCACAAGCCAGCTCTCAGTCACCAACTAGGTAAAATGAAACAGCAACTGAGACAGCAGGCAAGAGCAAGTGTAGGTCCAGTCCCCTTACGTAATGTCACATATGAAGAGTTGGTGAAAGTGCTTGATGGGAGACCTAAGATTACCAATATATTAAAGAGAAAATAAGCTACGGAAGCTGTGCTTTAAAAAAGGCAGGCAGAGGGCAAAGACCCAATCACATCACCAGTATCGCCTGTGGTCTTTCTGAAGCTGTCCTCATTACTGTTCTGTGAGTCTCTGTGTGGAGGTGACCATCTTGGTAGAGGCAGGGCTTTGCTTCCTCATGTAAGTCTGTAGCAAGGAGAACAGTGAGCATCATGGTAGTGAAGTCACCAAATTTCACTCAGATCTGGCAGCAGTACCTTAGATATCACACTGTGGATATACAGCTATGATGCTGTAGATGCAGGAGTGCCTAGGTGCACTCACATACCTGAAAGTGCACTCAGGGTACTGCTTTAGAGCAATTAACTGTCTGTTTCCTATAACACAGCAAATCTGCACTTTTTTAAGTTCAGGTCCACTTTAGGTTATGCTATGTATGCTGTATAATAATTGTGTAAGTGTGAATGCTTGACTGGATAAACGCCAGCCAATTAGTGGAATGCTGTTGTTTATGCACATTTAGGTTATTATATTGATAATTTCTTCAAGCCTTTAGATTTATTTGAATGCTGCATGTCTAAAGCCCACTTCCTATGGTTCTAATGCATGTGGGTTTTGAAATCACATCTTAATAAATAGTTTTAAAAACTAACTTGTGCTTGTCCTATGAAGGATAAAGCAAGCACATACTGTTTTTTTGCTCCATTCTGCCGCTGAGAGTAAAAAAAAAATATTTGCTACTTCTACTACTAGGGAGGAACGTGTGAATGACTCAATGTGGTGGTACTTTTTGTTTGGTGAATGGCTAGTGCTGCCATGGAGTCAGTCAGTCCTGGTTCAGTCAGTCAGTCCAGGTGGTGAACTAAACAAAATGTGCCCAGGGTTTTCTATTATTATTATTATTATACAGTATTTATATAGCGCCAAAGGGTATGCTCAGCGCTGTACAGTAGCAGGGGGACATAACATGAGACAAGACAGTAACAATACACTACATGAGGGGTCCGAGGGCCCTGCTCTTTCGAGCTTACAATCTATTCTTGCTCTTAGTGGCTTGTGGGTTTATTTAATTTTAGATGGACTATTTTTTTACACATTCTTTCCCGGTTTTCCTATGACTATTTGTCACTTTAAGCACTGCATTTTTATGTATTTATTGTTTATTGCCTAGTATCAGGGTTTTGTGTTCAGCTGCTATATATTATACACTTTATTTTTAATTATTGAACATTTACTTCCATTAGCGCAGATATATATATATATAAAACTGACTTAATACAATCTGCCTGTTTACAATCTTCTATTAATGCACACCGAGCTGGGCATGTGTAGCTCAGCATACATTCTCAATACAGTGCCAGCATGCTGGGTTGAAGGAAAAGCCAGAAACCTGGCACCCTGGAGAATTCAGGGGAGAAGATTTCAGCTTTAGCTTTAAAGGAAACCTGTTATTAGACAAATAAGTGATTTGGCATTGCTAATCTCCTTCTGAAAATGCCAGTTTCCTGTCTGTTTCTGACTTCAGCATGTTGTGAGTCACCCATAACAAACATACAGTAAATAAAGCCAAGCCAAAGTATAGTAAGGATTGTTGAAGTCTTCAAGTGCCATTGCAAAATACACTGAAGCCAGAGGATCAGAAAGACAACCAATTTTTAGAGGAAAATCAACTAGGGAAGCCATATTCCTCCCAACCCCCATAATAAAAATCTAGGTACAGAGTGAAAGAACTTCCAGTACAAATACGTAAGCCATCAAGACAACATACCATAATCCAGTCCCTTTTGTGTGATTCTCACTACTGCTCCTGGGTTCCCAGTGTCCGTTCTTCCTAACACAACCAGACAGGACACCAGGATTAATGTGCAGGAAAAGGTCATCTTGACAGAGCTTGGTGCTGTTACAAAGACAACTTTGTCAGCTAAAGGTTTTTAAGCCCTGACAATGTGAAACTGAAAAGGAAGACAGTATGAGGAAATAGTGTCAGATTTACATGGGCTTTCCCATGGAGAATTCTGAAGACTAACTAGTTATACAATATGTGTGCATTTTACATACTTTACCTAAGTGTTCAGTTCTTTGTTTTGTCTTATTTTTTATACAAAGACTGATCTTTGATTAATTGATCTGAATGAAGAATGCAGTAATCTGTAGTAACTAATCAAAGTTCTTTCATTGTTCTGTTCGTGTATGCCAGCCTTTCTCAGTCTTTTTCACAGAGGAACCCTTGGAATAATTTACTGGTCTTGGGAAACCCCAGCTAAGATTGTTTATTTGGAATCAGCAGAAAAAAAATGTCTCCTACAATGATGTTCAGTTGGAAAATGCTCTTCTTACAGACAGCTAAAAAGATCATTATTGCCATGCTGCTGGCTCTGCCTAGTGGTGTTGGACCTGGAATCATGCAGGCATCATTAGATGGGAAGACAATCAGCCACAGCCCAAGGAATTCCTAGCAACCTCTGGAAGAACCCTAGCTATCCATAGAACCTTGGATGCTGGTGTAAACTGATAAATTAAAGTCTGGGCTGGTGGAAAAATGTTAACCTTGTAATGGGTCCTTCTTGGCACTGGAATCAACTGCTTGTAGGGGGACTTAAATAAGGTGCTATACTTACCTTATATCTTGCTCTTGAAGGCTTCCTTCATGCCTGGTTCCCTATTGCCATTTTGTTTTTGCTGCCCAACATGTTGCAGCTCTCTGACATCATCACATACAATGCAGGAACAGTGGTCCTGCATTTTATGTGAGGAACCCGAGGGCCTGTCTACATCATAGGCACATCGGTCAGTGGAAGAGAGTACTGGCTGCTTGTAGCCCAAGGAACAAGATATCATCCTATAGACTCAGTGAGTAGTAAACTCTTGAAGTGAACAGGGGAGTAACTTCAGGGGTAACTTTCTCTCCAGCCTAGAGTTCAGCTGATTAAAGCTGTTATTGCTGCCCCTGTCTTCAGCTAAAAAAAAATTACTACTCCGCATTTGTTTCTCCAAGACATTGGAATACTACATTGATTCTCAACCATCTCAGATAGGTTGATGACATTTGTTGATTGTTGAGAATGGAAGAACTAAGCATTCACTATCATGATACATTCAAAATAGTTTTGAAACAAGTGGCTGCCTTGGATTATGTTTATGGATGCTGAGTTCTGGACCCTGGCATGAGCCTTTTTTCCCCTTCTATGTTCCTCAGTATCACTAAAAAACATTATCCTTATTCTTATCCCTTTCTCCAAATGACTGATCAGACTTGTAATATAGTTCTTGGGCTGAGTTTAATTTGTAATTTTCTTTATGACTAAGCCTTTACAAGGTGAAATGCATCAGTGCCATGTGCACAATAGGGAAGTATGGTTTGATAATTCTTTCTTGCTATCATTGAATCAACCAATTTCATTCAAAAGCCCCAAAATGAAATCCCAGGCATTATTAAACAGGTTTGATTTCACAGGGATAAAAACCATGTTACATTCTTTTGCAAACATTTTTTATCCTGAATTTTCTTGTCACTTTGGTTGAAAACAAATGTTGATTTTGTCCTTCTAATTATTAGAGAATCAAATGAATATTTTGAAGACAATTTTTTTAACAAAACTCTACTGATGTATAGCCAGCTTTTTATTTTGCTCTCCTGTTGCTCTATTCAGCCACCAGGAGTAACAACAGAAAACTCTGCATTAGCCCCAAGTTACTGTGGTCACAGCCTACACAGGGTTAGGGGCTCTTTTCCTTATCTCCATGTGATAATAACAGTGGCTTGTGATTGGTTGCCAAGGTGCCCAGTGCTGAATTGTGGGAGGAAGGGAAGTGAGTTACATAATCTCCTTATTTTTAGGTATGGTAGCCGAATGGAGCAATGGTGTAGTGTAAGGAAGGTTGAATATTGAAAGCATGCGACTAACTCCCTTTTTCCAACACTGCAGAGCTGGCTACCTGAGTGACAAATCACCAGTCACCAGGGCTGTCATATTGGGTTGGGGGAAAGAGCCCCTAGCCATGTGTAAATGTCAATAGAGCCACTTGGACCTTACACAAGAATTCATCTCTTTGGTTCTAGTGGAGAGATTAGAGGAAGGAAAGTATATATATATAAACTCCATGAAACAATTTTGTTTTACAAAGAAATTTATTAATTCATTTTGTTTTTTATACAGCAAAATAGCATAACACAAGGTATAAAGACTTTGTCAAAGGATGAACAAGCGGGCCAAATGCTCACACTAAACAAGTAAAGGGAAGAGGTCAGTACAATGGCAGCAACAGGGATATATGGTAAAACAAACCATCAGATTTTCCAACAGTAAGATAGTAGCTCTTCTCATCAGGGCCTGCTCTTTTTGAGCGACATCTGTGACCTTTAACAAAGTGGGAGAAGTGGCCTCAATGCCACCGGTTAAAACAATCACAAAAGAGGAAAAGCAAAAAAAAGGTGGGGGAGCCAAGGAAACAAAAAGAATGGAGAGAAAAGAAGAAGAGGGGGATTGGTAAGGAAGGGGAGGCAGGAGGAAGAGGCAGGGGTGATTCCGCTAGGGTTCAGCCAAATACAAATTAACGGGGGCTACGGAAGAATCCATCAGGTTAAAAGCAGGGTGCTGTTAAGGTTCAAGCTATCGTTGTTAGTGATCCATGGATCCCAAACCTTTAAAAAATTGGCATGGGTGTCATTCCAATTACAAGTGAGATTCTCATGTACCATAGTCCCCATGAGCATTGGTTGACTTCAGCAAGATTGAGGAACTGTTTCTGCCGAGCTTTGCTCAATGTCTGATGAACTGCTAGAAAGACAGAGCCATGAATCATTATTTAGCTCATAGTGCATAGCTCCCAACTTTCTGAAATGGGAAAGAGGGACACTTTTGTATGCAGTGTACAAACCCCTGCCATGCCCCTAATTATGCAGATCATAAGGAAACACAGGAAATTATTGAGTAAACCCACAAGTTCTTTTTACCTATAATTTTCCTTCCTACTGGCTGTTCAGAACAATAAATGTAAGAATTTGGGGATGGTAAAAGGTTTAGCACTGTAGAAATATTTTTATTAGTTCAGTTATAAATTTAATGAGGTCTTTACCTCTAGACCAGTGGTTCTCAACCTGTGGGTCGCGACCCCTTTGGGGGTCGAACGACCCTTTCACAGGGGTCGCCTAAGACCATTGGAAAAAACATATTTCTGATGTGTAAAGAGCAGCTACTGTGTAGAAAGCAGCTGCTGTGTTGAAAGCAGCTACTCTGTTAAAAGCAGCTACTGTGCTGAAAGCAGCAGTATTGGAGGTAAAATGACACTTCATGAATTATAATTACTGGGTAAATAATGTTATGGTTGGGGGTCACCACAACATGAGGAACTGTATTAAAGGGTCACGGCATTAGGAAGCTTGAGAACCACTGCTCTAGACCACAAAAGGGGGACAAATGAGGACAGAGGGACAGAAGGATTTAATTTAAATGGGTGACAGTCCCTCAAAATTAGGGACAGTCAGGAGCTAGGTTGGTGCTTTCTGTATTTACTGTACATCCCACCTTTTTTTGGGTATACAATTAGGTCTGAATCCACTCAAATCACAGCAAAGTGAATTTGGTACCCTCTTTTCTATTAATGAACAGTTGTATAATGCAAGTTTACTTTATCAGTCTTATAATGTTTATTTCTCCATTTCAAATAAATTATTCTGTAATCACGAAGCACTTTAGCAGAATGTGAAAACCTTAACGATATAATACCTAACATATCAAGCATAAATTTAATAGTGTATAGGCCTGATTTTTACCAAGACAAGGGTAATTGAAGTGAGATTCCTTTATCTATTATTCAGATGCATACAAATGGACGGGGTAATGATTTTCTTATAAATATGAGAATCTAGAGAAATAGTTATTTACAGTGGCAGATGAGAAAGCATGGACACTGCTGTTCAGACACAGGTAAGACATTTCATTATTGGCAAAATAGATATAATAATACACTACTCAAAAACAATTAAAAGAACACTTTTTAATCAGAGTATAGCATCAAGTCAATTAAACTCCTGGGATATTGATCTTGTCTGTTAAGTAGCAGAGGAGGTTGTTAATCAGTTTCAGCTGCTTTAGTATTAATGAAATGAACAACAGGTGCACTAGATGGGCAGCAATGAGACAACCCCCAAAACAGGAATGGTTTTACAGGTGGAGGCCACTGACAATTTTTCCCTACTCATCTTTTCTGACTGTTTTTCACTAGTTTTGCATTTGGCTAGGGCTAGTGTCACTACTGGTAGCATGAGGCGATACCTGGACCCTACAGTGTTGCACAGGCAGTCCAACTCCTTCAGGATGGCACATCAATATGTGCCATTGCCAGAAGGTTTGCTGTGTCTCCCAGCACAGTCTCAAGAGCATGGAGGAGATTCCAGGAGACAGGCAGTTACTCTAGGAGAGCTGGACAGGGCCATAGAAGGTCCTTAACCCATCAGCAGGACTAGTATCTGCTCGTTTGTGCAAGGAGGAACAGGATGAGCACTGCCAGAGCCCTACAAAATTACTTCCAACAGGCCACTGGTGAGAGTGTCTCTCACCAAACAGTCAGAAACAGACTTCATGAGGGTGGCCTGAGCCTGAGGCCCCGACATTCTTTAGTGGGCCCTGTGCTCACTGCCTGGCAACATAGAGCTTGATTGGCATTTGCCATTGAACACCATAATTGGCAGGTCCACCACTGGTGCCCTGTGCTTTTCACAGATGAGAGCAGGTTCACCCTGAGCACAAGTGAAAATCAAGAAAGGGTCTGGAGAAGCCATGAAGAACGTTATGGTGCCTGTAACATCATTCATCATGATTGTTTTGGTGGTGGGTCAGTGATGGTCTGGGGAGGCATATCCATGGAGGGACGCACAGAC